AATGCTATTTTGAATAAATTTTATCGTGAATTAAAGTTTAAAATGTTAGTTTTAAATATTTTATTCTCATTTAAATTAGTTGAACGAAATAACATATAGTTGTAATAAGGACAAAAAATCGAAATCGCTAAACTTTTATTTTTTATTACTATTACAGTTAAATCAAAATACCTCAGAAAAAAGTCGGACAGCGGGATCAGGAAAGTTAACAGTACTGTATTTTAAATGAGTGAGTGTTTACAAAAAGGAGCAATTTTTTAAAAATGAGTTAGTAAAAGCTCATTACAAACCATAAATAGCAGGGTTTCTCAATATTTCAGAGACCGTTTATATATGTAACATCAGAGGAAATCCACTCAAATTTATTCGAATCACAGCTGCTTCCATTTTTGACAGTTTTCACGCTTTTAAGGAAATCTTTGGTAATTTTTTTTCGCTTTTAATGAAAAAATATAAACTATATAAAATTTCATTGACTTCATCAATGAACATAGATACCTGAAAGGCATCTCTTGTACAGAGATTTCAAATTTTTTTTTTAGAAAATCAGTATTTATTTACCTTTGGAAAAGGGAACAATAAAAATTGGACAAAAATGCACTAAGATGGCTCCTTTTTAGATTCATTGAGTGAATGTTCCTCCATCGTTTAGACTAAGCTGGATTTCTGTAAATTTCTGTCAAACGCGATTTTATTGCTGGCAATTTAATATATTGTAATTTAGAATAGAAAGCAAGCAGTAAAAATGAAAATTCACATATTATTTGTTGCAAATAACTAACATCGGCAACAAGACAGTGTATTTATTGAAAATTGCAATGCAGATGATTAAAAATTAGAAGTATAAATTACGAACGCTGTTTCACACAAGATTTATCTTTTTCCCCTTTTTATATTCCCAATAATCCTAAAGTAGGCCAAGATAAAACTTACGTCAAGGCAACCCGGAACTTTGCTGCTGGCAATCTGTGTTACTAAAGTTACATTTCATGTCGGGAAATTTATGACTTCAGAAACAATGCTTAGCAAAGACTGACAGAAACTATAATCCTTTCAAGCTAAGGGTTCAAACAACACATTAAAAGACATATGACTCTTCTATGTTTTTTTTAATATAGAAATGTCAGTCAACTAAATTACATATGTGTTTAGTTAAAACACGCCAAAATATATAGCTATTTGAGATGCAAAATTGTATTATAACTTTAAGCAAACGAAGTGTTTTAGGTTTGTAAGATTCTACTGTATGTAAAACCTTGTGTCAGTGTCCTTCAGACCTTACTAGACTGGAAACGAGTTACCGCTAAGGTTAAATAATATTTTTTGTTTAACTCTTAAATGAACAGAAGACAATGCTTGTGCGACAGATGAACTTCCGCTACTTGAGAGTATTTAAATCAATAAGATAAAATTACATTCAAATGTACTTAACGTAGTCTGAGACAACACACACACATGCACAATAGACTACTTAAGGTGGCACAAGATAATTAGCAGCGCGTATTTAAAAGTCGGCTAGCAAAATGCTAACGCCGGAAATAAATTTTGACAGAGCTGGCGAAAGTAACAGTACGGTGAGACTGCCAGAAGCTCTGATTCTAAATGGATTCGGAAGAACAAGTCTAACTCTAAGTATTCTAACTGTCGGCTTAAATGCTGTATAACTAATATGCATTCCGGTGAGAACTACGGAAAGAAAGAGTTATAGCAAAGGTTCAGTTCATAATAACTGGCTAATTAATATAAAATCTTAATTAACCTCTAAGATATTATATTAAATGGAGTGTAATTATATTATTAAGTGCTATTTTGTTACCGCAGTTTTTTTAAACATTTTCTATAACTTTAAATTACACGAATAACAGTAAATAAAGTAAAACGATAATTAAAGGTGCTTCAGCAGTTAACACCTATTCTACGAAAATGAAGCCTATAAAAAATAAAGGAATGTGAGAATTTATTAGTCTTCTATGCATGTATTTATTTTTGGAATTGTTAATTTTCAAAGTGTTTTTCAGCTGAAGTACAGTAAAATGAGGATAACTTTTATTACATCCTAAACGAGGATAAATTATCTTTCTAATATTTTTAGAATTTGATTTTAATTTATGTCGAAACTGAAGGCATGGAAATATAAACATGTAAAAGGATTGTAAATAACTTTTATACTGTGTTCGTGTTGTTCGTTTCCGTAAACGAAACAAGTATGTTAAGAACAAGTATGTTTCCTTTTAAAATTAGATTGATGAGTTCAGAATATTCGTGTTAATAAGGAACAAGTAGACTCATGGGTTAAAAGAATCCTGAAGTTAAGCTAGAAGATGATTGATTTTCGTAGAACTAGGTAATATAACAATTCAGTTTAACTTAAAAACAGTATGAGGAGAATATAGTTAAGTTTATTTTTAGGAAGATAAATGATTTAATGCTGTATTTATATTTATGAAGTCCTAGCTATTTGAAACTATTTATTAACAGCTTTATTAATAGTTATGCAATTAAACCTCTCTGCAAAATCTCTAACCAGATTTTATATTAAAGTTTTGAAATTCTTCTCGACCTTCTTCCCCGCTACATGAGTGAAACTGAATTGGGAAATCAATTTGGACTATTGTTGCTATAGAAATACTTACGAATTTTTCTAGTTTTTCTAGATATTTCCTCCGATTTTCAGATCTTAGTAATATTATTTGACCACTCTTCCGTTTCTTTAGTAAAGCATTCGCATTGTGATAGGAAGTATTCCTATGTATGAAATGTATCTCAATAGACACAAGTAAAGGCAACCAGTTTAGAGAAATTATAATTTTACTTAGAGAACGTCTAAACAAATGATAAGTTAAAATTTATCTTTACTATTATGTCCTAGCCTGTAAGATTTATTACAATTAACAAATTAACGTTTTGTTAATTCTGTCTCATTAGTTATATTTCTTCCGTTAATTTCACCAGAATGTAAATTAGGTGCCATTTTATTAGCGAGAGAAGGTGTAAAATTTTTAAAGTTTGGCAACGTCATCATTAAGTTTGTTTATTTCATTCGTATCATTAAATTTCGTATCATTAAGTTCGTATCATTAAGTTTGTTTATTTCGATGTCCACCTATTGTCTCAGATGATTTCTGTGAGCGTTTTCTCCTCAATTTTGCTAATATTTATTCTTAGATATGGAAAATAATTTAAAGACGTCTTGAAAGATGGTAAATCCACTTATTGTGCTGTTCATATTTTAGATTTTTTCTTAATTCCAAGACGGTGAATATGTTTGTTACATTTTTAGTTGTTTTTACAAATAGTAGTACGAATAAACTTCTAATTTAGTTTTGAACTGTGCTCATCAAAGTTATAAATTTCAAGTTAAAGTGCGATGATGGTAAGCCGTCTGTAACAAAGGAAGTTTAAACTCTGAATAACAGTCAATTAGGTTTATTCCTACAAGTAAATATGAAAATTCAAATTGCCTCTGACGGCACTAGATAAATGCTTTAATATTTATTTGAAAAATTGATTTCTTTGGATAATAAGACAGTACAGCTATTAACCTTACTGAAGTTAAACTATGAAATCACAGATGATGCTTTTATTACCGCTTTTTACAAGGATAATTACCCTTAGAAGTGGCAATAAATATAACAACAACAGCAGTTGTTAAACAGAAATTTTAACATATTTTAATGATCCAAGGCCACCAAATGTACTGGTACCAACAGTCTAAGATATTTGGTGATCTTAGATCATTAAATATATTAAAATGTTTATTAGCCATTATCCTGTATTCTGTATTTATTAACGTCTGTATTAATTCATTATCCTGCATTAATTCATTATCCTGTATTCTGTATTTATTCATAAGTCATTATCCTGTACTAAGAGTTAATGCAATAAGATAATATTAAGAACTCAGTTTTCGTACATGGCTCAAAATGAAAGCTAAAAGATTTTAAAAGTTTGAAAAATTTCAGAAGGTTTGCATTTAATTATTTGTTTCTGAAACTAGCAACGTAAAAAATTACTCTTCTTTTTTTTACAGTTTATTTAGTAGAGAAAATTTTCTCAATTTTAGGATTTTCAAAATAAGCAGAACATTAGCCTAATTAATATATTATACTTTATTCGTTTGAAAACTAAACTTATAATGGTATATATTATATTTTATATATTTAAAATACAGCATAGAAAGAACCAAAAATGTAAATTAAAGAATTTGATATAAGAATTATTAACGGCAAAAATGCAACTGTAAATTTGAAGAAAAAATAAGTGTAAGCTTAATTGGGCCCTTTTATCAGTCACGTCGACACATTCGAGTTTGCTTGACACTAAAAATACTCTGAAGCATACATGCATTTCCTTTCCTCTCTACAATCCTTAATCCGATTTTGACACTCATCGTGTTAAAAATATCCTTAAATTTTTATCAAATTAAAAAATGATACGAGTTATGATTTCAAAAGTTAAAAATATTTGACTAACTAGTTTATTCAAGATACTTTAGCTTACTATTCGATGTGAATTTTTGATCTGTAAGTCTTACCAAATAGCGGTAATTACAAAATATGCGATATTTTATAATACATTAGTCTTAATTTAAAAATATCAATTGTTATCTTTATTGCAGCAAACGAACTGGCTATTGGAAGATAATCAGGTGGGTAGTTAGTCTATTAAAAGATAGTAAGTTAAAACCAGTTACTAAGTTAACTTCAGTTAAAAGACAATTAATTGAGCCAAGATTAACGTATTGTTCTAAAAAAATGGGGGACCAAATTTTATCAATGAAATCGATATTTCTAAGTAAATGCAGATCCGTTTTCTAAAGCAAGTGAAACACAATCCATTCCAAACTGAATCACGCTTCCCATGTTAAAGCTAATAGGATACAAACAACTCAGGTAAGGACTCTTGGAATTCAGGAATAAAAGTACGTTGCCAAACTCCTCTGAGTATTCCCTTGTGGAAAGTCAATAAAGAGTTTTTGAAGCACAGAAGCAAGAGGGTTTTTAATAGTCTTCTCTGATCATGAGTGGGCACTGTGGAGAGCCATTCCTATAGAGAAAATTAACATTTGGATGAGCTGAGCAAACTTTGGGCATCGACCTTCGAAATCGGAAGATTTTGAGACACCTTTCAACTCCAACACCCACCTTTGAGTTCACGACCTCATCGCAGAAGTCTGATAACTCGACATCGTGAAAAATTGCTGTTGCTGTACCTTTGGTTGTCACAACCCACGGTTTTATACAAACAGTTAAAAGCATCGCTAATAGGTAAACAAATCTGTAAATTGTAAATGGAAAGTAGTAAAGTTATAGAATTTCAGAAGTTTATTTGATCTGTTAACTTGTATAACATTAAAATTAATTAATATTTCTGAAATTGTATAATCAAATTAACTTTACAAAAAAAAATTCGAAGTAATCACACAAATGACGTAAACACTCCTTAAAAACTAACATGAGGTACATCAGCGAGAAAGAAATTGTTACAAACAGCAGAATACAGAGGTTTAATACAACTAAAATGAGTCGAAAGTAACGATGAAAATGCACTCTGATAAAAATGTTTAGACATTTTGTCGACAAAGCGCTTTTTTATAAAGATAATTTTTTTGAAACGGCTCATATACATATACGTATATGTTTAACAAAACAGTTATTATTTATAATCGTATATACGTTCTGGAATATTTTATTTGTAGAATTCTTTACGACAATCCAACCGCTTTCAGTATTTACACACGATTGTGTAATTTTTCAGACAAGACGTCAAATGGTTTTCCTCATCGTTAAAGGGTTAATTAAGAATCAAAGAAGGGACATAAATCCCTATTTTCTTTAACTTTATTGCTTTTAAATACACTCACTCAAAATACAAGCACCTTTTTAATACACCCTAATTAAGCTTTGATCATTATAGTACATTCGGACAACAAAGTTTCAGTAGAAACGGCGCATATTATTAAAATATTATAAACAGTACAAGAACTAATCAGTCTGTAAAGAATGGACAGTTTGTAAATATATGCAGCTTAATAATTATTTCCTAATATGAAATTTAACATTGTTAATACCAATAACTATATATAATTAGAAAATTCAGAAACTCCTTTTAAAATACTAAAAATACATATTTATGAACTTTAAAAATTACATTTAAAGGCCACTTAAATAAAACATTACGGATCCATTTCAAAATCGAAACATTTTTAATATAAATTACTCTAGAGCAGTTTGAAACTTACCGCTGTTTTCTGGTTGCTGTGTCCAAGGGCTGTTTGAATTAGGCTTGCCACTCTGTTTATTAACCGAGTATGACTGCCCAGCGTCTTTTGTTTTACTGATTCTCAATTGGTCAATAATAGATGTCAATCGGCTTTCTTTTTTCGGTTCTGGACTAATACTGCGAAAAAAAATGAAATCATTTTAAGTAAAACTTCAAAAATCTGTGAAATTTTTAATTGTTTTATTGTTCTACTATTTGCTTTTATGCCATTACTTCTTTGCCTTTTTTATTTAAAAAAAAAAAACTAATTTCATTGTTCATAAAGAATTTTTGGAATTACACATTTGACAAATTCTAATTTACTCTGAAAGGAATATGTTTGGCACGTGATTAACTGACAAGGAATACTGAAGATTACTTTTTTAATTTGCTGCAAAGTGCATAACATGTTGTAACTACTTAATGGTTTTATATTAGACAGAGATTAAAAAGTGTTAGTTGTTTATTGTAATAAAAAATTAAGTTTCGTTTGCGCACGACTGCAGATATAATGCGAAAATTTAAATCATTTAACAACTAATTCAAAAATATCTGCAAATCTCGTCTCCAGCATTTTTTGATACGCTACAAAAAGTGTTATAGTTATTTGTGAAACTGTTCTCAGTCAGCCAGTTATGACAATATAATGAGAGCAGGATAAGAAGTTTTTGAATTTTTTTGTTAACAGGGCGCCAATCGGAAAACGTGTGCCAAAGCGCCAAATGTGGCAACCTGTTTATATTGCTCATCAATAGCTGTGCAGCGTTAAATGTGTGCGATTCTAAGATTGTGAGGAATGATAAATGTACGCATTTTCGCTTAGAAAATGCCAGAGAATTGAAAAAATTCGACACCGCACACAAATTCCGTATCGATTGAAAAAATATCAGCACAAAAAAACTGCTGTTTACATGGCGAGAACACGGCGAATTTTCACTTAAGAAAATCAGACAGTTGCAAAAATTCGGTATCGTGCACAGCTAGCTCGTCGCGCGCATTAAACATTACAAATTGTTATTACAAGTTCATTTTTTCCATGAAACTTTACGTATCATTAAGGTTGCTGCCATCTAGATATGTTTGGAGTTAGGTAACGCCCCGCTAACAGAAAATTACCGAATTTTTTGTTAATAGATTCATCCTCTAATTAAGGTTCTGAGCTAAGAAGGCTGTTGGTATAAGTGTAGTCGTTAATCCCTTTTGCTTCAATAATTAAATTTTTACTGTTCTTAACTCCTTGTAAACTGAAATCCCAAGAAAATTTTCAAAAAATCAAAAACCTCTTTCCTTCCTCCACTCCCTACTGATTTTGTAGCTGAGTAAAAACTTGAACTTGGTTATAATAAGATTTCATGTTCTTTTATAATCCATTTTATTCTGTGTTTCAAGGTTTTACAATATTAATGAAAAAGCATTCTACTAAATTGCTGTTATCCGATGCTTTTATCGTATAAATGCCAACCCAAAATAAAGAGTATTTAAGGAGCCCTGAATACGATTGTTAGGAATGATGTATTCAACTTTTTTATAACATTATATTGCAAACGAAAAACTAATTTTAAACCATCTTTTAATTCCCTTCATGTGAGAGTGCAGCTGGAACGTGCCTGCTCTGAAGAACCTTTTGATTACCTCTGCTACAATACCAGCTACCAAGAAACAGAAAATAGGACAGTATACCGAGTCATCAGTTATTCCAAATCTGTGGGATTGGCTGTAAACCATCCAATCACCTAGGTTTGGCAGAACTGATGTGATTACATATACGATTATTTCGCACAACCGATTCATTCTTTTAGCCGATTTTATGACTAAAAGTGGCCAAAATATTAATATTTCTATCTACATAATGAATGATGATATATCATGTGTAACTTCTATGAACTAACATCGCATACTGTGAAACAGGAAGAAGAGAGTTGTTTTGACTGTGCAATAATTGTTCTTTCACATCTTTTCAGTTAGCCTTCTTTGAGAACCACATCTATTTTACGCTGTCACTGCAGTGCATTGTACTTTATTTTGTTCTTATCATTTCTGAACTTAAAGATGATAGTCAACTGCTAAAAAAACAAAACATTTGTAACTGAAGAAAATGACAGCATTTGAAAATTTCTTTTTAAACTAATTCTTTGAATGAGAAATTGAACTGAGGAACAATCAGTAAGAGGGCTCTTAAATTTAATTTTCTAAGCGGATATAAATTTAGGTGTGTAACCTCATTTTGAATACGTGACTTCTAAGGCAAAATATAGCCACTTTTCGTTTGATTATATGGCTCGCTAACTTTAATAAAGCCACTTTTTGTTTGATTATATAACTCCATAGCATTAAGACAGCTACATTTTGTTTGTTTACATAATTCGATAGCTTTAATAGAGCGACTTTTCGTTTGACTACACAAATTTAACAGAGCCACTTTTTGTTTGTCTATATAATTCAATAGGTTTAATAGAACCACTTTCCGTTTGATTACATAACTCAATAGCTTTCTAGAGCCACTTTTCGTTTGGTTACGTAACTCCGATAGCTATAATACAGCTACTTTTCGTTTGATTACATAACTCGATATCTTTAACAGACCCACTTTTTCTTTGTCTATATAACTCAATAGGTTTAATAGAGCCATTTTCCGTTTGATTACATAACTCGATAGCTTTCTAGAGCCACTTTTCGTTTGGTTACGTAACTCTGATAGCTCTAATAGAGCTACTTTTCATTTGATTACATAACTCGATAGCTTTAACTACGATTTTATAATTCTTTTTCTTGTAATCAAGTAAAAAAATAATCACCAGATATGTTCAATATTTCTTACTTTTCGTTGTTCTGTTTACGACTGACATCCATCTTTCGAATACTGGAACTACCTGGTTGTTCCCTCTGATTTCGATTTAGCAACTCAAGATCCACTTCGCAAAATTTTTGGAGGGATTCCAATGCGCTTTCTTCCTTTCCATGAGCTTCGTGCCCGCTAACATCAGTATGGCTCTGATCTGAGATCCCATGCTTCATAGGATTTCCACAATGTAGGCTATCTTGAATCGACATCCATCTTTCCGACAGCTTATCTCGATTCTGTAAGAAGAAAATAGACAACCGTGTTAATAGTAAAAATCTGTTCACATGCAACAAGAAAGTCATTTCGCAATATTTTGAGCTTATTTAACAATTTTAAAACACTAAATGTGAACAGATAGGAACTCGTGCTTATTTTAAACAGAATAAACTATTTTATATTTACTACAGTTTTTAATACTTCTGACTAATAAACATGAAATGTAAATAATGGATATAAAAGGAATTCTTGAAACCTTTTCTAGTCTTAATCATTTGTCAGCATACACAAATTAGTTTCTGGTGTAGTGCAATATGTTGTAGCCTTAAAACAAAATTGAAAGTAATTTACATGATTACCGACTTATTATTAAGAGTTAATGGTAGATATTGGAGGCTACATTTTCTTTTACTGAATTTGCAAACATTCATTTTACCTTTGGAAGGAAATGGTGATTAATAATACTAGAATGCTATAAGTAAAAAGTGCACATTTCGTTGATAGCTAATTATTCCATATATCATTCATTATATGCTAATAAAATCTGAAAGAACATAAAAAAGTTTGACATTTTCAATAGAAAGGAAATACAAGATTTTTAAAAACTGCATGAAAAACCTTTTTATAAATATCAGCTAGATCTGTAAAATTATTCAGGGCCCATTTAAATTTGTCCAAAAACATAGCAAGAAATGGCACTGACGTATTGTGAGAAACAAATTTTTAAGTACACATCCATAATAAATCTTTAAGTAGCCACCACAAACGATTTACAAAGTATTGCATTCATAGTAATTGTAAATATGAAAGTATTTACAGTGTGGCGCTCAAAGATTGAGTTTCGATATTAAAGTCATTAGAACTGGACGTATGATAGGGAAGTTAGATAATATGGTCCAATATATCAAATTTCTGTATGTTTCATGCAGAATAGCGTGCTGCATACAATATGCCTTTTGGAGCCATAGACTCTTCATCTTCGAAAGGCAGTCTTCAGGTTGGAAAAAATTCTATGCTGGCAAAGGCCTGTTCATACGGTTTGTGTTGAGCTCTCCTCCTTAGTTAACAGGTAAGGAACATTTTCGCAGATCACCTTCATACCCCTCACGCATGAAGATGCTGCTGAAGGAGCCCTCCAACAAGATAATGCATTGTATGCTAATTATTTTACTTAGATGTGGATTCAGGAATATTCCGTTGATTTTACTGTCATAATTTGTACCAAATAGTCAGACAGATATGACTCCTCGGAGTATTTTTGAGATATTAAGATACAGTTGGAGACAGTTGTGGACTGCAACGTAGCTTAGGTCTGATTTAAAGTTCTACAATCCATGAATCATTTCACTATTTAGTTAAAGAAATAGCGCTTTGCGAATTTGTGGACGATTACCTCTGCAGAATATCACTGGCAACTCGTTGTCGTGACGCGACGCTTATTGCTGAAAGCCCCATAAAAAGCATTTGTAATTATTCTCAGTGCGTGTCTTTTCGACCTCTCAGTGCATTTATTTATGCCTTGTCATGAAGAAAAATTCATCCCATATCAGGTTTACAGATCTCCACATTTTAGATCGTAAGGATGCAGAACCATACTGCCCCGATATGCTTAACAGTGTCTGAAAAATTGAAGTCGCTTATAACCATTACTTTCTTATTTTCAAGTTTGATTTCTGGTGGTGAGATGGGCACGTCGCATGAGTATTACGTGGTTTATCCTATGTATAACACGAATAAGAAGTAGTGTCTCTTACGGATTCCAACATGAACGAATTTCTTGTATGGGTAGATGGCTTGCGTTTGTTTGGTCTTAATTAAATACGCCAACAAACTTTTGCAAACTGAGTTTCAAATCAAACAAACATATGAGCTTAAAAGTAGTAATCGAAATACTTTGTTAGATAACTAATTTTTAGAAAATTCTGAAAATTGTTTGACTTCCAGCCAGCATCAAAGAGTATTCAGTATCCATGTTAAAACTTTCTATGTTTTGTAAGTGAATTTTACCAAAGCAGTTGAATAAAATTAATATTAAATCACTAGAGTAAGTAATAATACGAATCACTTCTGAAATATTCTAAGAAAAAATCTACAAATGATCCCTAAATTTCATTTGAGAAAATCTACCATAATTTTGCTCATTTAACAACATTCCTTTTTAATTTTGAAAGTAAAACAATTATTTCTTCTCCCTATTGTTCTCATTTTCTTGATTTTCTCTCTTAAGATACTCATGAATTAATTTTTGTTGGACGATGTTTCATGAAAACATCCCCTCTTGATAAGGACATAGTTCTTAAGTGTTTTCATGTCATTGGAAAAAAGTCATGCGTTATTTTCCTTTTATTATACATTCTTGACTTTAAAGCACATGGCCAGACATTCCAAAGAAAAATGTTCAGTTCCGATTTAAGTTCACAGATTTTATAAATTAAGTTTTAGAGAAAATTAGTTGAAAAAAATTACCTTTAAAAATATTCTTACCCATTATGTGGGGCCATTGTAATCCTATCAATGACGTGCCATTTTTTAAATGTTTGTTAAAATGAAAAGAGCATGCTCACCCAGTAGCAAACATCTGATTATTCTGATATTTAATAATTTGTCGTCATTCGCTTTCAATGCCGAATAATCCATTTTAATCAGCGCAGCAAATGAGTATGTTCACCAGGCGAGCTTATAGAGTTGAAAGCGCGCTTTCCCGTGTGAACGCAACAATCGCATTTTCAACAGGAAGTCTGAACTATTACACATTGCCACACTTCACACGGTACGAAGAGATTGATCTGTCTCGTCTAAATTACTGAGGAAATAAATAGCTCATTCAGAGACTAAAGAATTAAGATGCATCTTACATGAAACTTTTATTTCTTTCAATTCATTTTCATTGCGATACGAAAGTTAGAAGAATGTATTGAGCACTTTTTTGAAGAGCAATTGAAAAGAATATGCGCTACGAACTTGTTTATGCGACATTGATTAAAACCTTTCCTTATTTAAAGTTCTTTAATAATTTACTTCTGAAGAGCTTTTAAGAGTGTAAAGGATTTTAAAGGCATTTCTTCCAGCGTCCTGGAACTATAGTGGTCAGCGCATTTAGCTATCAGTTTTAAGACAGAGGACTCCAATCCTATTTAAAATGTGCGCGGCCATGAGAAACAAAATATTAGTGATTCTAGACGATTACACTTAGCACCATACTGATGGTGTTCGATTCACCTGATTTCAACGTGCACTAGGAATCGAAATTTTAATATTTTATGTCTAACAACGGAAACTAAGTACTTCTGTTCTTTAACTTTTGTAGGAGAAATCAAGATGGAAAAATTTAAGTTAATCAATTTGTTTCATTAACTCCTTCAGTTTTGGCTCACTGCCGTTTTCTGCATTTCATTTTCTAATGAGATGAAAAAACTTAAAACGTTGTAATTTTACTCATCTACGACTAAGCTATCAAAATAATCGCCGAATGTCACTTAAAATTTTGAAACCTGTTCTTAGGTGTGAAAGATTTAGCTATTACATGACTCTGAAGGTAAATGAAACAACTCTTTACTGCTGCGAAAATCATATATCAAACACTAGATATTGGAAGTGCGTTTCTACCTTAGAATTAAGTCCTTAGAATTAAGTCTTATTCATTATGTGATAGCAATAGTAAGCTTTCCTTGAAATAAGGTGCAGATTTTGTATTTTGATTCCTGAACGATTACTAATTTTAAAGTTTTATTTTATTTTCCCTTTATTTATTATTTCTCGTTATATTTTTATTTTATGACGTTTGAAATTAAAAATGTATGTAATTATAATACACATTTAATTAACATACATTAATTCATATAGTATACATTAATTTATATATTAAAAATATATATAATTTGATAGAAAATTTGTTCTAAATTAATTTTTATAGACATCAAATCCCATTCATTTAAGTGAACATATAAACCGAATTCGGAATTAAAGAAGTGGGTACAACGTTTTCAAAAGAGCTTTAGCTTTACAAATAAATATCTGTGTTACACAATTCTCTAACGCCTCTCCCATTTCCAACTACAAAAACAAAACCTTGCTATTAGTTTAAATCTGTCATTTGTACCTAGTTGCCCGCATCATGTATACATCTTCTGTTTATGTTATATGAAAATGCTTGAGGGCGAATAATAATTTTGGCTTGAAGTTATTATTTTCTCTGAATCTGGTTCCAGCCACCGTTGAATTGCTATGACGATTCCACTGACGTATGTAACAGATAAAATACTTGTTGAAACTGATGCTTTCGTAGATAAAAAAAAAGGATTGCTTGAGGCTGTCTACTGAACATCATAATCAAATTTTTATTTTCCATCGAGATTTAAAACTTCAGTGGATTGGAAAATATGTGGCGGGATTACAAGTTTGCTGATATGTATTCGTGGAATGTTCATCTTAGATTACACAGATAAAGCTTGATTGCAGAAAGTTTCGAGGAAAAACAATTTGAAAGAATAATAAAAGTCACAGAAGATTTGCTTGGGCAAATGCGCTGAAGTAGACGAATGATGGAAAGGGAAATGAAACTATATTTGTTTTACGTTGTTGATGCTTATATTGGGAAATATTACGAACGCACACCTGTCGGTGAAAAAGATAAAACAGGCCCATTATACTGATGTATGAGCCTTGAATTTTAGCCTCTGGCACTATCCATCTGAAAATTTGTAATGATGCATTAAAAGAGGCACTTGCCATCATCATCAAAATCCCAATTGCCATTATCTGTAAAAAACATGAGTTTACATAATGTTATAAACTCATATTCTCGTTGATTAAAGTTAATGACAGATTTTTCAGCACGAGTTCACAAGCAATAATATTTCCTCGCTCATTAAGTCATTAAAAAATTAACTAAATAAGATATTATAAATTTTACTAAAGGTGTACAAATGATCCTAAATAAGAACTCATCACCAAAAAGTATTAGTTGAGGCTTTAACTGCTGTGTAATAAAATGCTAGCACAACGGGAATTAATTAAATTC